ATTATGTTAGAGTAGATTTTATTCTAGTTCCGGGGAAGTTGAACCCTACGACTTGATGATGTTTGATTAATTTTCGTGGTTGATTTTTAAGTTATCTTTTGGAATTGTTCGTGTTATTTTGAATAATTAACCATGATGTGTTGAGTTGGATTTAGATTGATCACCTAGATTAGACTTTACATATCTACACCTGAATTAGGCCTTCAATCCGGAAGATGGTAACTACCGGGAGATAACACAGCCTATTTAAGTGAACGAACACGTCACTACTTAGTCTAGCCTATTTTTCTAATTCGTAAAACGGTTGATTGTATTAAATCTAAGAAACGTTTTTTAGACTGTACAAGAAGTCAGGTCTAATCGTAGAGCGTCTCGCGGTTAGATTAAAAATAAGGAAAAATTCGGGTAATAGACCGTGTCGTTACCTAGGGCTAGTAATTTCATAAGATAGCGAGATTTGATACCAAAGTTGATTAGATGAGTCAGTCGAGAGTGTAGATGGAACCGTGAACTAGAAATTTCTCTTATTTATTTTATTTTTATTTTTATTTTAGTTTGTTTAGATTTTATTTGTTTCATTAGAATTTTAATTAGTTTAGTTATTAAATCCAATCTCCCCCCCCCNNNNCCCCCCCCCTTTATAGCTTTTATAATTCAATTAATACGAGAAGAATATCACAATTTGGATCACACTTCTCGTAGGATCGACCTTTACTTGCCACTACTACTAGTTAGTAGAAGTTTGTCGAGAAAAAATATAAATTTTAATTTTGCCGCGTTGCAACGCGCGGTCATAAGGTCATGCTTTATATCGTATTATTCTAGCATTGTTGTCGACCCAAACCATCACGAAATTATATGTATTTAAATATATATATAGTGAAAGCATTATTTTCATAAATTAATATCGGATAATAAATTATACCAACGCACCTTCATGTAATCATTCCATATTGTATTGTCACGTACTCACGTACAATGAACATATTAGTGGAATTAATCATCCCACCTAAAACTTGAGATCGACATCATGCCAGAGTGAATTATAGTCTTTCTTCTTCTACAATGCGAGCTTGGATATGATATGTGGGTTTGCTCGATATCTGTGTTTCGAAAGACATTGTGTAAGTGCGCCTCAAGAATGAACTGGTTTTACGTGAAGCAAAATATGATTTGGAAATGCTCGACGATAAGGAATAATTGGTTCAATGCTACAAGCAATCTGGGATTTTAAGGAGGCTTTGTAGTGATTACACTAATGTAAAGTTCAAATCGAAAGATACTTTATTTTATGCATTTTCACTATGGTGGTTATAATGTTGGTTTTTATTTTAACCAAGTGGGGGATTGTTATATTTTGGTTAAAATAAAAAATGTAAGATGAATTATATGTTACATGCAAAGGTGTAAGATAACTTATATGTTACATGCATGAGTGTAATTGAGTTACACAATGCATGAATGTAAAATAATAAGTTTCAAGACAATGCATGTAGGATAAGTTTTAAGATAATGGATGTGGATAATTAGTTTCACTTCACAAACTTGAAACTTGTGGGTTTAATTAATCTTGAATTAATTAAACAAGTTGCAACTTAATGAGATTAATGTATCTCATTAAACAAGATGACACATATATATACTTCTCTTCTTTTGTGAAATCTTAGGCAAAATTACAAAAATGATACACTAAGTTGGTCGTTGTCAACAAAAGAGACACTATGTTGTCACTCATAGAAAAGATACACTTAATTGGCTTTTTGCACGAAAAAGATACATATTTACAAAAATGATACACTAAGTGTATAACTTATGTCTGACTTTGGATTGCTTATGCCCGACTTAGTGTATCATTTTTGTAAATATGTATCTATTTCGTGCAAAAAACCAATTAAGTGTATCTTTTCTATGAGTGACAACATAGTGTCTCTTTTGTTGACAACGACCAACTTAGTGTATCATTTTTGTAATTTTGCCTGAAATCTTATGAAGAAAGTAGAAGGCTTGATCAATCTCAAAACTCGATCCTTTTCATTTTGTGTGTTCCCTAAAGATTTCAAAGAAATGGAGGAAATAGAGTTTTTGGACAAAGTTCCAAAGAACTTGTTTGAGACTTGTATTACATATTTTTGTTCTTGAGAGAAATATTAAATAAAATAAAAAGTGAATTTTGTTGAGTGTCTTTTTCTCGATTGTTATCTATTATTTCCAACACATACATATACTAATAATCTAATATACAGTCATGTTCGTATGGTACCTCGAGTTGTCTAGGTCAAAGTCAGCTTCCGTGTATTTGTGGCAGCATGCAATGAAAAATGTATTGCCCATATCATATGTCCACACCATACATTTTACGCAGCCAAATTAGACATGCATGCAGAATTTGGTGAAAGAAACATAAAACATACTATCATTTTTGGCTCACAAGACTAGTTCATCCACATGGACCACAAGCCACGTATTCGCCCGATAAAACGCCACGTAGGCTTATGGAGCAAAAATGATGAATTTTACAATTTATTGTATCAAGTTTGATGTCCGCCAAATTAGTGGACCATTTCTGGAAAATTGTCAATATAATGGACCAAAAAAATGAAATTTTACCTCATTTTTCAAAACGGATAAAATAATCAAAACCTTTTTAATATTGCAGAATAATTTACACTACATGGCTTTTCATAGCAAAAGTATAAATTTTTATTAAAAAAATATAATAGTACTAAAATATTTGTATGTCATACGGGTGTTTGTTAAAAATTTATGCAAAAATAAAGAGTTTTAAAAATAAACTATTTGTTTTTAATTTAAGATTTTAAGTATTTCATAAAATTTATATTTTTAATATATATGCATTTTGAATATCAAATTGAATATCATAAAAAAGACGATGAGTTTGATATATCATATATGAAAAACTGATACTAAATAAAAAAAATTAAATTCTAAAATATAATTATGATTTAAGTTGGTTAGAGTGTCTACAATTTTTAAAAGACCTAATAAATAAATATATAAATCAAAGTCTATATGGACTACTCCAACACACATAGACTCATAAGAACCTAATAAATAAATATATAAATTAAATGGGAGATGTTACGGTCCCGTTATGAAATCATTTAGTCGGAATTTGTAATCGTTAGATCAACTATTCGCACCGATTACAGAATGATTTAGCAGTTACAAACCTCAACAGAATGGTTAACGGAACTTTAGCATTTCCTTAAATCAAAGTCCATAAAGACTACTCCGGCCAACATACACAGACTCATAAAGGACATATGATGCGAAAATGGTTAGGGATCACTTATGATTCTTAAGTACCAGAAATTGATAATTTTATACGTAGACTCTACATTTATATAAGAGTTAAATGTAAGAGGACATATGATATGGCGATTATCATGTCAATATTAATGGGTTATTTAGAATCACCGAATGCTCTAGAAACAAAATGGCTTATGGCATGCTTGTTTGTAAATTAATCCTTTCAAAATGAACTCTTTTGTTTTTTTTTTTTTTCGAAACGATAGAGAACTCTTTTGTTAATATGAGTTAATTTTGAAAAAATGTTGTATAGTTAGTTGTTACTCTCTTCTATTCATAATAATTAAGTGTCATTTTAAGAAGTTACACAGTGATTATTATTATTATTATTATTATTATTATTATTATTATCATTATTATTATTATTATTTTGCCTATAATAACCTCTTTTAATAAAAATAACGATGAATGTTTTGGAAAAAAATGAAGAGTGAATATGAAAAAACGTAGTGTATTTATTAACTAAATGATAGTAATAATAGAAAAAAATGTAGTTATGTACAAAAGATATAAAAAGTCATTTACTTGGTTAATAGTTGATAAAGTGAAAATGACATTTAAAAAAAGATGAGGCAGTATTATTTTTTAATATTTTGAATTTATATTAAAATAATATTAAGTTAAAATTATATAAGTGTATGAATAGTAAAATAAATAATGATTGGTTTGTACTACCATAGTACCATTTAATCATATTAATAATATTAAAGATAGTGAGATTGAATTAAATTTGATGTATGAATTAAATTTGAACGAATTATTTGATAAACTTACTTCTAATTTAGTGCCAACTTCTTCTGTGAAAGAATTTTTGTAACATAGAAATTAGTGAATTTCAGTATTAAACATTTTAGAAACTAAACAATAAATTCCTTTTCACCATTCCGATCGTCCAAACCATAGTTTTTTGACCCTGTTGACCCGGAGTAGAAACCGGTCCGGGTTGACTATTTGGACCGGGCAACAGAAGACTCGGTCAAACCCGGCCAACCCAGACTTGACCCAGTCGACATGGGGCATTAATCCGGCTGGGTCAACTCGGTTGACCCGGTCCATATATATTTTTTAATTTTTTATTTATTTTTTAAAAAGAAAACTACGTATATATATGTATATATGGTAAATATTTATCACGAGATACATATTATTAAAACTTTAATGTACAAATTTTATACACAAAAGATTTAATTTGGTTAGTTTTATGTATATTTATATGACAAAAATACTCTATATATAATTTTAAAAATTTTAAAATTAATTATCCGGTTCAATAATTGACCTGATAACCCCACAATTGAATCGATGACCCGATAACCCGATGACCCAGAGGCCTGTCTGAGTCGGTTATCGGGTCGGTTTAAAAACTATGATCCAAACCAAAATTAAGGTCCAGCAAAAATTCCCAACTTTTAATGCAATTTCCCCCATAAAATAATAATAATTAAAATTGTAGTACAACCTAATTTTCTAATTTAGACAAGTCAAATTGTACACTTTATCTATCTCTCCTCCACGTAATTTCCTCTTCTTTTCCCATATCTCGTGTTCTCACGCAACCGACGAATTATAAATACACAGCTTCCGAAAAAACCTGCCCAATTGAAAATTGTGAAATAAAAAAGGGGAAAAACAAAACCAAACGAAAATTATCGAAAAAAAAAAAAAACAAAATGGCATTCTCCTCTACAATCGCGGTGATCCTGACGGCGGCGGTCCTGGTGGCGGCCGCCGGAGTCGCGGAGGCGCAGATGGACTGCGCCGCCCAGCTGATGCCGTGCGTGCCCTATCTGAACTCGACGAGGCCGTCGGCAGAATGCTGCAACGCCATCCGGCAGGTGGTGAGTACTCAGCTCCACTGCCTCTGCAGCCTGTACAAAAATCCGGCGGCCTTGCCGGGGATCAACATCACTCAGGCGCTCATGGTCCCCACCCACTGCAACATCCCCACTGACGTCAGCGCCTGCAGTGGTACGTCACCTTTTTCTTTTCTTTTTACTTTTTTTTTTTTTTTTGGCTGTTGAATAGATCGGAAACTTTTGGTGAATTTATGTTATTGATTGGTTAGACGAGATGAGTTATCTGATATGTTATATGTAATTTTCGATCTTATGAGTTATTGCTAAAAAACTAGTTTTTATGATAAAATTGTTTAGTAAAATTGACTGATAAGTTAGTTGATATAAAAATTTTAACTAACTTATTTAAATGGTTACCTAAAGAAACTTATAAGATAAGCTCGAGCTTTTTAAAAAATTTCGTTATATCATACGAGATTTATTTGAATACAGAAAGCTTATAAGTCAATCAAATAAACTACTAAGATAGCTTATTTGACTACCAAACATAATCGTAATGGAATGCCATTGAATAAATTTAAGTTTTGCTTGTTTAAGGAACCAAAATCAAGCTTTAACGGGCTAAGTCGAGTTAAAATTTCATAAAATTATATGAAGGCCTTTGTCACTCATGTCTAGACAAGATATTTGGTTCGCTAGAGAAGTAAGGTTATCTTTAACAAAAAAACTCTAAAAATTTATAAAATTATACAGACCTTTGTTCTCGGTCTTAAAAATCTCTTTTTCGACTCGAAAACTAAGGTCAACTCCTCGAAAAATTTATTATCAAATTCATTTTGCAGTAATTATTTTCCAACCGATAAACTCATTTTAAAAAATAAAAGAATATTATTGAAATATTCTTTTTTACATCAACTTTTATAACATTAATTCAATAACACCCACATATTTAACAACTTTATAAATTAGAGCTAATATTATTTTATATTTAATTTTTAAAAATATGTTGAACAATTTGTCATTAATAAAATATATTGAACAATGTTAAGAATATTTATCATTATAAAAAAATATATTGAACAATTTGTCATTAATAATTCGTACACATGCAAAAATATTGAAAGACAAAACTTTTTCAATAAGCCAAAATCATATTTTCTCTCATTTTAATTTAAAAAGTATTTTAGAAATATTGTTTACCAGTCTTTTAATAGAATGAGGATAAATTACTTTAAAGTATTTATGTAATTTTACAAGAAATTATTTACAAAAATATTTACTGGATTGAATTGCATAATAAATATCTAATTTCTATAATATTTTTGTTGAACAAAAAATGTATATATATATACATATATTAATATTTAAACCATATAATATGTTAATATATATATATTTATATATAGAATTAAAGAATAAATATAATAATATTTTTTAATCTATTATTAACCAAATAGATAATATCAAATCAGAAAGTTTAGCTTAATCAATTTTTGATGAGACTAAGATTTTTTCAATTATTGATTTTTGGTGAGATTAATTGATTTTTTTTTTAAATTAGTGTACCATTAATTATTTAAATAAAACAGAAAAAAAAAAAGGTTATTGCAATTTCAAAACTAGGGAGATGCTACGGTCCCGTTAAAGAACCATTCCGTCGGAATTTTTAATCGTTAGATCAACTATCTCGACAGTTACAAACCCGACGAAATAGTTCCGTAACGGGATCTGTAACATTTCCCTCAACACTAAACGCAAATATTTGTTCTCAATTAAGAATACAGACACGTATACGGGTGGAATTGATCTAAACAAGACCAATCCTTAGAAGTCACAACGAAGAATAGATGTTGGGTTTTCTCATTTGAGTGGCAGTTGAGAAATTCAATGATACAATTCACGAATTTCACTTTATTTATTATTTTGGTTCCTTTTTGGTTTTTATTCTTATTTTTATTTCCTATATGTAGCTTTAATTTCACCTGCCCGTCCACCAAGTTTGAACTTTGCCTTTAATAATAAAAAGAGCTGTAAATTATTTTAATTTTAATATGTTTTGATTTCATAATTAATTCCAACCTTTGTACAATCATATCTTTTTTTTTTTAACAATATGAATAATTTTTAAACTAAAATATCATACTATATAAGAAATTATGAACAAATATATGAATTTTTATAGTATAATTTTAATAATTTGGACATATATATATTTTCTTTTAACTTGTGTATTGGAATTATTGGATCAAATTGTGCATTAACTTAATTTCTGATCTTGTGCAATGTTCCAGCTTTGGCTCCAACAGGTTCCTCACACACCCCTCCAGGTAACCACTTTTTTTTCTTCTTTAATATTCTTTAATATTAATTGACACTAATTATTGTAGATATAATATCAAACGTTTAGCAATTGATTGATTGGGAGATGCTACGGTCTCGTTACGGAACCATACTATTGGGATTTGTAACCGTTAGCTTAACTATTCATGACGGTTACATGATGATCTAACGTTACAAACCCTGACGGAATGGTTTCGTAACGAGATCATAGCATTTCCTTGATTGTTATACATATTATTGTGGATGAATATATTTTGAATATTTATTTTTTTTTCTTTAATTGGAACATATTATTTAAAATGTTTGGACTAGCTAAGTAAATAATCAATCTTGTTGGTCCCATATGATATTTCAAAAAATGGCGATTATTAAAAGTTCCATGTGAAGGGTGGTTAGCAGTTAAGCTTATTAATTGGATCAACTCCAATGTGGAAGGGTTGACCATGAGCTGCCCATAATGTTGACCACCCAACACAAACATGTATAGTAAAAAAAAAGTACTCTTATTAATGGCTTGTTAGGCCAAATTTGTAAGATAGTTCAATGTTAGACAGTCGTACTTTTTCAATACATGTATATTTTTCATACTATAATAAATATACATTTTACATTTCTCATATAATAAAGTTAAAAAAAATATATATGACTGTCTAGGCGTTTACCAATTTATTTTAAAATTACTTTAAATAGATTAAACGTTTTTTACTCCAAAATTCACAAGTGTATCAACTCGACATATATATGTCGTGGGCATCTTCACAGGCGTGTCCGGGAGCGATGGCAATGGCGCGAGCACGATGACGTCATGGATGGCGATGCCAGCCTTACTCTTACTCTTGGCCTTCACATATCTCCATTAGATGAGGAGGGCTTCGAGTTTTGATATATAGAAAATCAATCTATCGATTCGTATGTGTGATTTTATATATATGATTATATCCCACATCGATTTAGCATGTAATTTGTTGTTGTCTTGTTGGTGGCTTATTGTTTTTTTTTTTTGTATCGATTGTTGATGAGATTAATGATTGGGACCCGTTGAGTATTTTCTCCATGAGTTTTATTTATAATATAGTTTAATTCTATATCCTCTACGTAGTATATCTGCCTATACTTCAGCTCAATTCCATTAATGTCGATCGTAAGTGGTTCGGATTTTTGTTTATAATATAGTTGAATGTACGCGTTGAAATTATTATTTTTTATTTATAGTAGAAGTAATATTAAATTAATATTATTAAACACATCATTTATCGGTCACATAAATTTAATGTTGATGTTAAAAAAGGTTAGCAACAGGGATGAACCGTACACTGCTCCGGGTACTCGGTTCACAAGAATCACATATAATTTTAGTTATACAAAATCGATAACAAAAAATGAAAGATGAAGCTTGTTTTTCATTTTATATTTTGGGGAACATGTTTTTTTCATTGGATAAGATGAGATCCCCCTTTTACGATAATTGGTGCCAAATATATATACAAGGCAATGAAGCATAACATATGGACATGAATTAGTGAAGAATAAAATAATACAGATGATATTTTAATGTGGTGTGACTGTGCGGGGCTCAATTATGTCAACTGACGACTTCAATTGACATATGCCTTTTCGGTAGTATGCATTCTCGGAAGACGGCTTCTTTATTGTATCCGGGTCTGACTGGTGATATTAAATTCCGCTCTACTCGAGTGCGGACGATCGTGACGTTTGAGGATTCGGTCAATATTAAATAATCAGCTCAGCTATTTGTGTATTTATTTATTACACCCTTGTTTATTTTGCCACGTGCCGTTCTTTGATTAATTGCAGTCAAATTGGGTGCCAACACCTAAATCTATGTCTTAGCGACGATTGAAGGAAAAAAAAAAAAAGGAAACATGGGAGATATTTGGGCTTGGGTTTTGTTCTTCGTCATTCTCGTTGCCCTTATCGGCATTCTAGTTTTCCAGGTCACATCTTTACCCAGCTCTGGTTTTATTCTTTTTTTTTTCTGTTTTATGTTATGTGCAATCTTTGATTTTTTTTATTTTTTTTATTTATTTTTTTTATTTTTTTTGCTGCTGGTTTATTGGGTTTCAAGAATTGGGTGAAAAAATTCAATCTTTATGCGATTTTCGGCATTTATGTGAAGTGTTGGACCATATTTGCCGGTGATTAAGATGGTTATCGTTGCTTTGACTGATGCTTCAGAGAAGTTGGCATGAAGTAGTTAGTTCCGATTAGAGTATAAATCGTTGATCACGAATTCGAAGACAGAGGCATTGTGAATTTTATCAAATATGAGATAGTTTTCTGCTCTTTGATAACAAGATTCTGATTGTATTGGTTTGAGTCATGTTAATTATTAGGAATTAATTTGGTTAATCCTTGTTGACGTGCATGAACCTGTCGTTGAGAGTAAACCTGGTTTCTTGAATCGGACGAATGAGGAAGAATATGGCATGATTAGTTCCTTGATACTTTACATTCATAATTATTATGTTGGAGATAGAGATTAGAGATGTTTTTGGCGTAAGTCAATTGGGTTGTCTGAGGTTTCGGTTGAGGAATGTGCAGATTATGGCCATTGGTATTTAAGTGATTATAGTAAGGATTGAGAAGTCTTGCATACATTTCAAAATCCGGATGTAATGGCTGCAATTGATGGCATGTCATTAGGTCCACTTGGACTCGATTTTGTTAGATTTTCTTACACTGTTCCAATCGATGGCGTGTCATTAGATCCACTTGGATTACATTTTGCCAGATTTTCTTACACTGCCAGTTATGTAAAGTTAATGTAAACCTTTACTTGGCATTTGATATGTAAAGTGAATTTCTTTACTTCAAAATTGGCCCCAGGTAGTCAAAACATATACCTAATAATGAGGAGCCTCTCGTCAATGACACATTTATTATAGTCATACAATATTAGGCTACTATTTATGCAGTCGTGTGGAGTTGTGAAAGGACCTGAATGTTGTTGTGTGTTTTTGTGATAGAGAAAATGTTGCGTCTCATGTGTTAGTTTGCCTTTATACTGTGAACTATTTTATACTCCTTAGAGCAAGTATTTGGTAAATGCTTTTCTTATCATGAAGTATGTTTTTTTTTTTTTTTTTTTTTTTTTTTTTTGTTGGAAAAATAAAAAAAAAAATTGACAATTAAGTTTTGCACAGCTCATGTGCTTGGCGGATCTTGAGTTTGATTACATAAATCCCTACGACACTACATATCGGATAAACGTTGTGGTGCTACCCGAGTACATGTTGCAAGCAGCTCTATGCGTCCTTTTCCTTGTTACAGGGCATTGGACAATGACACTTTTCGGTATACCTTACCTGTACTACAATGTCCGACTGTAAGATCACTTGGCTTTTACTTTTGAAATCATAATCGACTTCGTTTTTATATGAAAATTGGCACATGTGCTTGTACTTAGGCCATGCATAGCTTATCTTTGCTCGTTTATTTGCAAGCTTGCCAAATTTTGAGCGATGCTTTTCCAGAGTGCTGTCATCTGCTTACGTATAACACTATGTTTCTTGAGGAAGAAGTTTTTTCAGTCAGTTGACATCTTTTACAACTTCGATTCAACATTATGAAACATAAAGAGACTCTACGTCTTCCTGTTGTCTACCTATAATCAATTGATAGTTCCATAAGATTTTAGCAGGAATCAGATTGTTGAACGCCATGCCTTTTAAATTGCTTCATATGATGAACTAAAACACTTCCTTGCAATTATTGAGATGTAGAGGCTAAACTGGTTTGGTTTCTCTTTATTGTGAACTTATAAATATATATTTGGCATGTTAATCAATTTTCGTAGACGATCTCAAAATCCCATGCTTGATAGGTCAATATCACCAAACTTGCTCGTCTTTCCCTTCAGAACTTCACCAAGGTTTTCACTCAACCCAAAATTGGATTCTTTTCTTTGGATAGGTTTAAAGAAAAGAGAGAGGAAGAAAAAAAAATAAATAAATAAATTCCTGCTAAATGAAATTGATATTAGGTCTTCCATAGAGTATTGAATTGTATGCACCGGCATAAAATCTATACAAAATGGTGAAGAAAAGTAGCTACAAAATTTTATAAAGCACAAAAATATCACTGGCACTTCACAGTTAATATGCAAAGTTTAAACCTTTTTCACCGAATACTGTCCTAGTCAAAGTTTCCAGTTTTCCAGTGAATGCATGACCAAAATCAAGAATGTCTTTAATCAGAAGGCCTGCTTGTAAAACTCATTCTTACAGGCTGTTTTTGCAAGATCCTTATAGTTAGTACTCGTGGATTTTCATTTCCCCTTGTTCTTTTTGATTTTTCCATTCGGTTGAGATGGTATATTAACATGGATTGATACAAATCAATACATTGAGTTATTACTAGACAATGTAGTTATCACATCCACACAAAGTATGATCTTTGTTCGTCACAGGTATAACTATCAACCGCACCAATGACTTTTACTTCGGATTTATTAGCTTATAGCGGTGTTTGTTCGACCATATGTGTCTCCATAATGCTTCCATCTTGAATGATATGATGTATGTATAAAAGAAAAGCACTCTTTTCTTTTTTTTTTTTTTGAGGAAGGTATCTGCAAAGAAAGCACCTTATGGACGTAACCGAGATCTTCAATATGCTCAGTTGGGAAAAGAAGCAACGCATGTTCAAGCTCGGTTACATCATATTTCTTCTCGTCATGAACTTGTTTTGGTGAGTGATGGAAGTGAAGCATCTTTGTCCATCTTAGTGAATATACTTCTTCACTTCTGCTAAAGAATAGGTCACTGATCGCTTGGTCTTTTGATGTAGGATGATCTACAATGCACTTGATGACGATGAATAATCTCCTGTATCGGACGTGAGCTTTTCCCCAGTTTGTTGTATGCAATGACAGCATTTAAAGGCCAGTTTAGAAGTGACACTCATTCTTTCATTCATTTATTTTTTCTATTTTTGAGGTGGGCTCCTCTGATGTTCTGCAAGAACGTTGTAAAGCTACCAAGTTTCAGTTCTGATTATTTTTGTGGGTGTTTTTGTCTATGCTACATTTAAGGTACTATTTTTGGGCTTATATTTTATTCTTTCTTTCTTTGTCCGGTGAGAGTTTGTTTTGAGTTCTGCCTACATATTACATGGTTGTGCCATAATAAATAATGTAATTTTGAGGGATGATGACCAATTAATTAGTTTAAAAATATTAAATTTATTATAACAATTGTTCATGAGATTTTTAAGGAATATTACAATGATATTAAAAAAAGTAAATTATTTTAATATTGATTTTAGAATAAATAACTTGAACAAAAAGTTTTTACAATGTATTTTTTTATGTTTATGTAATTTTTCAAACCTAATTACGAAGTATGATTCTTCGCCAAATAGGATTCCGAAGCACCAGAAGCAGCCACAGGCTCAACGCATTCGGGAATTATATATAGGGAGGATGTTTTTTCTTTATTATTGTTAATAAAAGAATAATATTCTATTTTTTATTCTTGTTGAATAGTTGATGTTTACTATCAGAATTCATTTTAGTTTAATATATTTTCTTTAAAGAAAATAAAAAAGCAGCTTCACTTTATTGATATTAGTTATTATGCAATTAATGAACATTTCATGTAAACGTAATAGTCATAAATTATGACTACAACTCTTAAAATACACGTGTACTACAAGAGTATTTGTTAATACAGACGGAGCTATAGCGGGCCAGGGGCACGGGGACCCCTGAAATTTAAACTATTCTAGGGGTATATTAGTACTTTCACCATCATAAAAAATAATGAAAATATATGGGAAAATAATGTTGAAGCACCGTGGAGCAGCAGAGTAGAGAAGAGAATTTGTGGGAAAAAAAAAGGAAGAAAAAACCTAATCCTTTGGGCCTTCAGATTGATAGAAAGCGAGAAAAAAGAAAAGAGGTCCATCCTTCCCCGTCCGGCTTCGGCAAACTATCTTGTGAGTTTTTTTTTTTTTTTTCTGATTTCTGAATGTCGAACAAGAATCTGCAGACTAGTAATAAAACATTGATTTTATCGGTATATTATTTGTTGGTGGGTGCAATTTTTGTTCTCTTTGCTTAAAGTATGGTTATATGCTTTTTTTTATTGTTCATCACTTTGAATTGATGTTTTTTTACCTCTATGATTTGGGGTTGTTGTAAATTGGAAAACACTAGTCAAACTATTTGGACATGTGTTAAGACTTAAATGTTATCACTAGTTTTGTGTAATTGTGTTTGTTAAGAACGATTGACTTTGGGAAAAAAAATATTAAAAAATAGCGTTTGATTTGATCGGATTTGTGTGAGTGTAATTGCTTGTGTCGGTGTTGTTTGTGATGTAATGACATTAACGAGTTATTTATGTGATTTATGTGGAATTTTAGCAAAAGGCCGATGTTTTTTCTTGGAAAAGAGAAAATTTCATGAAGTTGTATTCAATTTAAAGTGGTAATTGTGTTATATGACATGTGTGGATCTTAGAAATTCTCTCAAGTATGTTATATTACTGAAGTAGATTGTTTTCTTTCACTGTTTATGTAATACGAAGTTTGTGAAATCGGTTGCACGTGGTGTATTATTATTTGGGCCTCCCTCGATAAAATTCCTAACTCCATCACTCCTTGTTAAGAACATTATGTTTAAAATTAAATAATAATAACAACCAAAATTATTTTAGTTTTTTAATACTGTTTGAAAAATAATATTATTATTTATATTTTAAATGACACCGTCACTTACACGACTTTCCATCTTATATTATAATTTTTTTTTAACTTATATCATATAACCACTTTGTATATAAGTTAGTTTAAATAATTTTATTTTTATGTATTAATATTAATAAGTAATTTAATTTTATCTATGAAGATAAATACAACTATTTTTTTTGTATGTATAATATATATATCAAATCGAATTTCATTAATATATGATTAATTTGATATATTATGTATAAAAAATTAATAAATAAAAATATTATTAACTTTCTAAATATGTTTATAATTTAAGTTAGTAAATTTGTTATAATTCTAAAATAAAGATTGAAATAAAAAAAAAAAAAATTATACTTATAAATCACGTCTACAATAGGAAATAATATCAAAACAACATTAATGCTCCTAAAAAAACCATAAATATCCAGTATATTTATGGATATTCTAAGTCTAGTTACTTTTGGATTCAAAATAAATTAAAGTTCATCCAAGTCAAACAAAAAAGTTTAAAAATTTGCCACACAAAATATCGAAGCGTGCAACTCAGCACGAATTATATATATAGAGAAATATAAAAATCTTAAAAATTTAGAAATTCCATTATAATGTACATAAAAGTCTTGAAAGTTTTTAAAAATCTTGAATATACCCCAAAAATTCCATAGTTTTTATTTGCATTATGCCCTTTTAATAACCTTAGCAAATAGATTAGTATAAACCCTACTTGCTTCACCATTCTCCAAAGTCCAAACCCTCTGGAAGTAAGTATTTGATTTGAATTTTCCTTTAATTGTCGACTTGCTGATTATCCATAGTTCCTTTTTGCAATGTTTCAATGAATATATGCTGTTTTGTGCTTATTTTCAGGTCAATCATCCACTGTATTTTGTCTCTGCAGATTACCCGATTGAATTTCACTTGATTTGTTAGCAATGCTACCGATTGATGGCACCAGAAAACTATCTTTCAATCGCTGTATAAGCGAAGGAGATTTGGTGATAGTTTACGAGAGGCACGATATTATGAAGCCGGTCAAAGTTTCCGGTGATGGGGTTTTCCAAAATCGGTTTGGTGTGTTCAAGCATGGTGATTGGGTCGGGAAACAGTTCGGCTCGAAGGTGTTCAGCAGCAAAGGTGGGTTTGTTTACTTGTTGGCTCCGACCCCCGAGCTATGGACCCTGGTTTTGAGCCACAGGACTCAGATTTTGTACATTGCGGATATTAGCTTCGTTGTCATGTATTTGGAAATTGTCCCGGGATGTGTGGTGCTCGAGTCCGGTACCGGAAGTGGGTCCCTGACAACCTCCCTTGCTCGTGCTGTGGCGCCAAATGGGCACGTGCACACCTTCGATTTTCATGAACAGAGGGCTTCATCGGCCAGGTGAGGAGTTTCTGCAGTTGATGGTTGATTGATTCAATGTTTGCTGGTTTTGTTCTTGATTATATGTTTGAGCTGGAGTAAATTAGTTACGATTACTCGACGCGGCAATGTTGGTTTTGAGTTTCGTAGGTGAGTGATTTCTATATACTTGTTGGTTTCATTGATTTTTCAGTTATGTTTGATTTGTGTTCAATGTTTGAAGGCCCGCCGAAACTGTTAGGTGAGTATGAATTTGTCAATCAGTAAATAAGAGGAGACAACACAAAGAGAATGATTTTTCAATGATCACGTCCTTGATCGAAATGGAGCTAACATATATGAGATAAGAGAATCCAATTTTATATTTTTTTTAAGTGTCATGTAGTTTAAATTGATGTACAGTTCGACTTTCTATTAGACTCACCTGAACTCCATGTTTTATGTGATAACTAAGCAGTAAATGGATTTGGCTATGCCTGTATCTTTATGTCCCAGTGACATACTGTTTTACCCGTATATTTTTTTTCTAGGGAGGATTTTGAGAGGACTGCATTGAGTAGTTTGGTGACGGTCAGTGTAAGGGATATACAGGGCGAGGGTTTTCCCGAAGAGTTTTCGGGACAGGCAGATTCTATTTTCCTTGACCTGCCTCAGCCATGGTCGGCCATTCCTTCTGCTGCTAAAATGCTACAACAAGATGGTGTCTTGTGCTCGTTCTCTCCTTGTATCGAGCAAGTACAAAAATCTTGCGAAACATTGAAGTTACATTTCACTGGTAGACCTTCCTTCGAAGATCTCATCTTCAAGTTACATTCGCTATATAGAGATTCTTACATGAAACCATCCCGATGTTTGGCCTAGTTATAAATTATAAACTATGATAAAAACCATATAGTATTGAAAATTATAGATAAATACCACGTTAATGGATGTATACGTGTAGATATTTTGGAAATATGGCACTTTTCCTGGATTATGTTTAGTAAAAATATTTTTTAATTTTCTTTAATTGCAGATATAAGAACATTCGAGGTACTTCTCCACACATATGAAGTTCGAGAAGGGAACTTGGGAAGCTGGCAAGATAGTGATGGGAGTTTGGGGACTCTTAAGGGTTCCAAGAAAAGGCAGCGCTCTGCAAACAAACTGGAAAATTGGAAACCTCCGATGATCATGGCTAGAAGAAGCGGTGAGGCTAAAGGGCATACGGGTTATTTGACGTTTGCCCGACTCAAGTGTATCGTGTAAACCTTTTTAATTGCTCTTTTTGCTAGTAGCCGAGGTTTTTAGCTTAATGAATTAGTCTGGTTAGAGGATGAGCAATTGTCGTTTTGTTGTGTTTGGTTCGGTTCGAGTGAGTTAGAATAGAAACAGATTGAGCTGAGCACCAGTTTATGTTTGCTGTTTGATACCATGTTATTCAGCTTGTGTTGTTTTTTTGCCAACTTTTGATTGTGTTTTTTGCTGGACTTTCACAAGGTGTTGTCTCAACCAGTGTTGGTGCTTTTACATTGGATATGTGCCTCAACTTTATGAAGATTATGGCAATATTTAAACAAATCAATTATAGAATATCAAAGTACTATAAATTTATACCTATAATTAGTTTCAATGTCCGAAAAAACATGAATAATTCGGAAAAAGGAAACAAAAAAGAAGCAAATAGTGGAGTTGTAATCAAGGAAATAAATAGCTCGCTAAAGTTGCCGCTATTTGAGAAATAACTTTTTTTGTCAGCGTGCCGCTATTGTATTCATGTGCAATTTAGCCGCTAAATCCCGCTAAATTTCCGCTATAGCTACAGTGCCATAAACGTTTTAGCCCGCTATTTAAAACCTTGGTTGTAATAATATATTTTCTTTGGCTTATATTCATTATTCAATTTCGATATTCCTTATTTATAGTCATGAAATTTGAATTCGAATAACAATAATATTTTATTTTCAAATTTTGTATCAATTCGAATCGTTAGCATATATGTTCTATTTGTTAATAACGATTACATAATATTTAATATACGGTTTAGAATATAAAATTTTATTCATAAAATATTAAATATAAATATATTTGTGTTTACAATAATATTTGAACAAATGTTTAAATCTACTACAATATATTTGATTATTGTAAAAAAATTAAATACGAACGAATTGAATTCTCTAGTAAAAAAAATATTATATATAAATATTTAAATATTTTTTATGTATTCGAATTGAATATTTGGTTGTTGGGCTCGACCCATGAGCAAGAGTCCACTTTGCAGCCCACCCTCACTCCATCTCCTCCGCCTAATCCAAATCCCTCTAAAACCATTTACACGCTCTCTCCAGGACAACAATGGCGGCCGCAGCTTACTCCATCTCAGCAGCATCAATTCGACCCGATTACACGCAATTCAAACAGGTTAACCCTTCAAATTGTACTCTCGCTCCACATCAAAATCTGAAATGTCGGTGGCTGTCCATCCCCAAGCTCTCGCTCCACTCTTCGAGTCTCAGGCACGTTTTCGCGCAGCGCGCCTCCGTTAACGCTGTGGTTACGCTCAGCCTCCCGACCTCGTAACTTCTCGTCACTTTCTTCGTTATTTGTGTGCAGCAGTTAACCTGTAGTTGTAATCTTGTGCGGATGTATGTTGGGCATGTTAGTTATTTTGTTATTTTGCTGCTGGAAGTTGCAAGGTTTTCGAACTGTGGGAACCGGAAATTTGGGGGATTTGATATGTGTGGACGGAATTTTCTGGGCGCTTCCTTTACTGTGAAACATCTGATTTGCTAGCACCATAGTCTGTTGGATGTGGTCTAGTCCAATGGTCATGTGTACCCGTTAGTTTTCGACTATCTTCGTTAATATTGATATACATGTGAGAAATGCCAATATCATGATATTCATTGCATTTGATTGCAATAAATTTGATCAGACAAGAAAATTTTCTGGATTGTTGGTGCAAAGTTTCTAGCTCGCGTTAGGTTTAGTTGAAATCAATCCTGGATAGTAATTTTGCTTGAATGTTGGGCCACTCAAATGTGATGATTGTGTGAAGTTGGATCTTTCGTTGTTCCCGGGTATGATTCAAGGGGTGTTTTGAATGAATTTGGTGTTTTCTCTTATGTTGCAGGAATCCAGAGAGGCTGGCTGCCACTGAGAAAATCCCCAAGTAAGTTCAAATTGGATATTTGTTCAATAATTTTTTTTTTTTTTTTTTTTTTCTTCCCAATGGACTAGTTATGGTTTTTATTCTTTTAATAGGCGTCTTTGTGCTGTGATTAAAGTATTATGATTTTTTTTGGAGTGAAACTTTAGATGGTCATCAACTTCAATAATGTCATTTGCATTGGCTGAGGTGGAAGCACGGAAAATCAAATCTCTAAATACAGACACAGAAGCTCTTCTCATGGGGATCCTGATAGAGGGTTTGGCTCTGTCTTCTCCTCCATTTTGTATATTTTGTTTCTTTTGCTGTCCTTGTGCCTTACCTGCCTAAACAACCATAGCTTTGAATACTATAGCTTGTGACTTGTCATCGGTCCACATGTTTTCAATGTTCAATTACCAACATTCAACAAAAAGTTCAATAGTGGATGATTGATACATTAAAACTTAAATGGAAACATGCGTTTTGCAGCCGTCTTGTGAACAGACAGTGTAGTAGTCAGAGAAAAATAGAAAATAAAATTGTAAACTTAACTCCAAAGCAATTCAAAGCTACAAGCAAGGCACATTATTTTATAACACCCGTGCTCATTCATCAGATTACTCCTCATTTATCACCATTAAGCTCCATACTAGTTGTCTTGTTAAATAATCCACTTCAACATATTCATCTCTCCCTTATCTTTAAGTCCTCCAGTAAGTAACCCTCCTTTGACAAGTTATACCTATCTGCTTGTTCGGGGACTTCTCAATTTATGCGGATGTGGAGCTATCAGTTTTCCTTTTACCTTGTTCAAGTATTATAAGCCTTCTCTCAAACTCCACTGCTGTATCAACCCCATTCTAAGTAAAGAATTAATATCAGTTGCATCATCATCTTCTCAATCACTTTTTTTTTTTGCTCAATTTAAATCAATTATTGGCCAAAAACGGGTTGATCAATGCACCTTTTATTGTACGGGAACACTGAACTTTGTACTTCTGCTAGGTGCTTGTTATGATCGTAGAACAAAGTGAAAGTTTTATTGCATTAAGAGCGAAGGACAATGCATCGGTTAGCTATTAATTAAACTGATCCAATTACATAAAAAATTGCTGTTGATTTGATTCTTCACCAAACACCATAATTGGTAGGATTTAGTAGTTAATTTATTGAAAAAAAATTGACATCTATCTTATGATCTTCTGTTACCAGGAACTAATCTTGCTTCAAAATTCTTGCGCGCGAATGGAGTTACTCTTTTTAAAGTGCGTGATGAAATTCTGAAATTGCGTGGAAAACCTGAATACGATGTCCGTTGTCCTGAGCATCCTCCGTTAACTGAAGCTGCTCAAAGGGCTCTTGATTGGGCTATTGATGAAAAGCTCAAGTCTGGTTAGATATTTTTGTTCTTCTGGTTTACTTGGCTAAAACCGAGTTCCTTCGATTATCTATCATCACTTATCATGAATGAATATTTTGGAGTGCTGATACTTTTTTTTTTCCCTCTTCCCTCTATGTTTGCTTATGCTATTGGATTTCGTAGAAATTTTTGTTGCCATATAATCTGGCTATGACACCCAATTATAAAATAATAATAATAATAACAATACCAAAAAAATTGCGTGAAACAAACCATTTAAATGTGCTACGTAGATAAATTATATATAAAAATAGGTTGTTAGAACTCAAGCAGAAGTGAATTGAAATTTAACTAAAGTGAAATCAAAGTTCTTGAAATGAGCTAATCATGGTTGTGTTTTCTAAGTACGTATGATACGTCAACTTCCGAACTTCTGTCAATATCTTAGTTGTGCTTTCTAAACAATTATACCAATACCTTTCGGGTGGGCTCAGATGCTAAATAAATCTTAACCTTTTTACGTTTGGCAATTTTATCTCAATCTTTAGGTAATTGCAATATAATCTCGACCTCAATTTACTTATTACAAGTCGAACCTAAAACCGGTTGGACCTTCAAGAAGCTGGTCGATTTGAAGGCGGTTCGAACAGATCGGAGCTCATATTTACCGGTTCACTCCAGATGTAGGAGGAGACTCATAACCGGTAGCTTACATTGACGTGGAATTTTTGGCTTTGTGCGTGGATATACATTAAATACGTGGAAATTGTCAACTTACTACGTGGATGACATAAAAACTAGTGTCAATGGAAGACTTAGACCCAAAATCGATCCACAAATCCCTAAAATCGATCACTATGCACTCAAATTTGCAATAAGTAAATTGAGGTCGAGATTATATTGCAATTACTCAAAGATTGGGATAAAATTGCCAAACGCAAAAAGGTTAAGGTTTATTTAGCAATTAACCCCATTTTTATTCTAGTATAAAAGTTATCACATAGAATGTTGTCAAAGTAATGAAATGCAGGTGACGATGGGGAAATTATCGCTAGATCCATGTGACTTTGTATTACTATCTCGGAATTAAGATGTCAAAGTAATGAAATGCAGGTGACGATGGGGAAATTACAACCACACATATGCTTCTTGGATTGTGGCAGCAAAAAGAATCAACTGGCCACAAAGTATTGGCTGCATTGGGATTTGATGATGACAAAGCGACAGAGCTTCATTCTTTGATATCCAAACCAGGATTTGTAGAGGATTGGTAGTTTCTCAGCCTTTACCTACCAGTTTGCTTTTGCCATTTTCTTTTCAACCGAGACGGGACTACATGTGGTAATTCTCTTGTTTAAGTTGCTTCTCATTTAAAGGGCAGAGTGAAAATCGTATTTAGCTACTCCATGTGTTTGCTCAGGAGTTTCTTGATCGGTTGGTTTAATGGTAAACGCTTTATGTGAGATGTACTTGCTCGTCAAGATGCAGTGCGGTTGTTCTGGTTCGCTAGAAATGAGATGCAATCATGTGCTGTAAATTGTAATACACTTGGATCCAACTATTTCGAATTCAAGCCCAGTTGATGTGAGAGCAGTGTATACATTTATATATGTGGAAGGGGGAGCCTAGAGGATCTTTAATTCTTTATTACATGTTTTTTTGTTTCTTTTTTATTATTATTTTATTATTATTATTATTTTTTTTTTGAGTAAAAATCCGTAATTGGAGGAGAGTACGTAGCACAATAGGTAATGTGGATTGTGGAGCAATTGGTGTCGTTCTTTGGGTCTCAACTTGATTTTCTGTAGATTGCCTAACTGGTTTAGTTCCCGAAAATTTTCCAAATTCAAATAACCCCTTAATTATTTTTTTATGACTGATACCTGTGTTTGAAATGATTTGTATAAAAAAAAAAAATGCATTTGACTTTCAATTAATTAGAGCATGTGCAATGTTTTGGAGTTTAATTTTGTCTAAGTGGCATGTAATTTGACTTAAATTCTGGATGATATAAAAATAAAAAAATTGAATTCAATGCAAAGAAACTAGGTCTCTACTTAGGTTTAAAATAAACTTAAAGACATATGAGATTTGTTTTTATTTTTCTTGTTGTTACGTCAGAAAGACTCAGTCTACTTGCACTTGTGCTAGAAGCATATATTTTTTTGGAAACTGGGTTAATTTATCGCGTGGCGTGGTATTTTTTTTAATGGATCTAAAGTATTGTAGATGCTCCGTTTATCCATTCATAATTTTTTATATTTTTTCTTTCAACATATTTGACTTTGTTCGACACTTGGCTGATGTAAATTTTGTTTGACACAGTGGATAACTGATAGGTGGTTTAATTAGCTAGTTGGACAGCTTGGCTTCATTTGGCATTCAAGGAATAGTTGATTGCTAAATTGACTGATCGAATAGCTAGTTTAAGGCAAATCCTTTGAAATCTAAGATCTGCTCCTCCCCAGCTACCACAATCTTATCCAAATTAAGGCAGCTCCATTTTCAGCTAGCTAGCTAACTATAATATATATATATATATATATGTCACATATCACATAAACCTTAAACTAAAAATTTCAAGAATTATTTCCTATTTCCAAATCTTCTTGGCCAAACCACACAATGAACCACCTCGGGCAGTACTCTCTCCCGCCGCCCTTCCACGACTTCAACCTCCACCAACACTTCCACCACGGCGGCGACAGCGGCGGCCCGGACGAAACCCTTGGGGCCCACACGGATGGCGGGGAGGTTCTCTCGTCGCCGGCGGAGGCCCACCGGAGGCCTAGGGGCCGGCCGTCGGGCTCCAAGAACAAGCCGAAGCCGCCCATCGTCATCGCGGCCAGGGACAGCGCCAGCGCCTTCCGGACCCACGTCATGGAGGTCCCCGACGGTTATGACGTGGCCGCCTGCGTGGCCGCCTACGCCGCCCGCCGCCAGCGAGGTGTATGCGTCATGAGCGCCACCGGTGCCGTCTCCGGCGCCACCCTCCGCCATCCGGACGGTGGTGTCGCCCTCCGGGGGAGGTTCGAGATCCTGTCACTCTCCGGGTCGTTTCTCCCGGCGCCGGCGCAAGCGCCGGCACCGGGGCTGACCGTGTACCTCGGGGGCGGGCAGGGGCAGGTGCTCGGGGGTAGCGTGGTCGGGGAGCTGCTGGCCGCGGGGCCCGTCATCATAATAGCCGCCTCGTTCGGGAACGCCGCGTACGAGCGGCTGCCGCTGGAGGAGGACAGCGGCGGCCGTCAACCGTCGCCGGAGATGATGGGCGACCCGTCTAATTTATCCCAAGGGATGCTGCCGGATCCTTTTAACAGTTCTAAAATGTCAAACGAGGCGTTTTGGGCCACCGACAGGCCACCGTTCTAGGCAGAAACCGTCCTGATTCGGATTAAGAGAGCGAAATTGACTTTTGTGCTCTTGATTGTCTTATTTACTTGCTGCTATCTTTTGATATGCGCGCGGGATATATCATCGAAATTATCAGTGAGGATCATTGTTGAGTTAGTGATGTGATTTTAATGATTTTATGTGCGATGAGATTACTGGCGTTATTCTGTTTGCAGTGAGAACCTAATATACGAACTGGTATGATTGAGTGCGTTTTAGTGCTGTTTTTACCCAGATATATTTTATTTAATAGCAACACAATTTATATTAACATTTGTAAAAATAATAGTATCATTTAATATTAGAAATAACATCATACACAATTGAAAATAACATCAAATATGATTCTCAGTGTTCTGACTTGTTTATATATTATATACATATATAACAACAAACTTAATAACCTCAAGTTTTCCCTCTATTTATATTTAATTAAGTATTTTTATTTATTCTATTTTAAAATATTTTTTCAAACTACTTTTGTTATTTTATTAACATTAGCTAATTATTTTTATGATATAACCAAACCTCTTAAAATTTCGTACACAATTGTTATAATAATAGTTTCGTACACAATTGTTCATAATAGTTTCAATATTGTTTTATCTAATTTATGAATTTAAATATTACATACACATGCATAGAGTTGCAAACGAGCCGAGCCGAGTTGAACATTGACCTTATCGAACAAGATTGAGTTTTTTTAGCTGCTCGAGCTCGACTCGATAAAAAATTACAATACTCAAGCTTGGCTCGAGTTCGATTCGAAATCAAAATGCTCGAGCTCGGCTCGAGTTCGACTCGAAAATTTTTAAGTGGAAAAGTAAAATTTCCATTAAGCACTTATGATAATATATATATATATATAATAAGAGTATTTTAGTAATTAACTTATATCTCGAGCCGCCCGATGAGCCGCTCGACAAGGCAAAACATGAGTTCGAGCTCGACTCGAGATCGTGCTCGAGCCACTCGAGCTCGACTCGAATTCGGTCAAACCCGAGCTCAAGTCGAGTTTTGACTCGAGTGCTCACGATCTGCTCGATTCGTTTGCAGCCCTACACACGCATCTGTGTATATGGACATGATCGAATACTAGTTATAGTAAAATTCTTTTCCTCCATCACTTGAAAGGTACCTCTCTTTGGTCCACAGTAGCTGGGGTTTACATTTATATTGAAGTTCCTTTCCTCCATCACTTGGAAGGGAGATTTCTTTGGTCATAGTAACTGGGGTTTGTATTTATATTGAAGTTCATTTTCTCCATCACTTGAAAGGTAGCTTTCTTTGGTCCACACTAGCTGATAAGTTTGGAAGGGCAATATTAATGAGATTCATAATATTTCTATAGACAAGTATGGGTTTGGTGTATCACTAAAGCTTCTAAAACTGGGAGGGCAATATTAATTAGCTTCATAAGATCAAATATAAGATCATTTTTTTTTTTTTTTTTTTTTTTTTTTTTTTTTTTTTTTTTTATGATGACACTCGATATATACCATTCTAGACATTTCTTGTATGATAATAGTAGATTATATATAATTCTGTGAATATTAATTAATTCTTTCGCATGCTAAAGTCTAATATTTTTTATTATTAAAATATTCACTTGTGATTTGTCCTACATCTTCGCAAAATAAGTCTAATTTATAAGTTTAGTGGGCTACTCCTCCGTCCACGTTTTGTGAGAGAATTTCACTTGAAGTTTATCTGAGCTTTCTGCCTTTCCCCGCTTATGGTGCTTATCAAGTGAATTTTAATTCAATCTAGTCAAACATTAGTTTGTCGTGTGTTTAATTAGAGACATAACTAGAAATTGTGAGTCAGCCCAAGGGGTCGACCAATTGCCATACTATATGAACAAAATTATATTATATACCAGGTCGACTCGCCATATTATGTGAACAAAAATACATTGTTATACCATAAAATTGTATGTATTTTTAGTAAAAGTATACATATTTATATATGTATAAAAAATTATATCAGTCAGATACAAGCGTAACTAAAAGTAAAGAGCTATATATTGGACTGTTTGAAATATTTATGTCGCGGCATAACATTTGATGGCCAATTAATAAGAAGAATAATGCTACAAGTACATAATAAATGTACATAGAGATGTACGTAACATTCACATGGAGTGGGATCCACTTATTTTTTTTTTCTGGTGAATCTCACTCAATGTGAGTGTTATGTATACGTTAAGTACGATATAAGAATATCAAGATTTAAATCTAGAGCGAGTATAAAATTCTTTGAACTGAAAGCAAAGCTTTTTAAATGCAGCTTTTATGATCAGACTCGTTGTTTCCTTTTCAGGAAACAAGGCCCATATGCCATTGTTGTTTTCAACCTTATCCTTTCCTTTTCCAGTACAATCAAATGTTCAACATTTTTTTTTTTTTTCACAAATTCTTATAGATCTAATTGTTAACAGATGGACCCATCATATTTTTTAAACAAAAGAAAAAAAAATATTTATATTATAAAACATCATATTTTTGTTTATATTGATTGTAAAATTTCAATTTAAAAGTATACATATTACTTGGAAATATATAGTTGTTTAACTATTAGGTCTTCCTAACAAACCTTCTTATATTTAAATTAGTTTGTTTTGTAAGACGCACTCTTAAAAAAAGTTTGAACTTATCTCATAAGCCTGTCTACAATGCTTTTTCAAGAAATCCCGCTGAATTTTTCGTTTCAACTGACTTATCAACTAATTTTACTTAATACTTTTATTATATCACTTAACTTTTCAGCCATAAGTCATAAGTTGTCAATTATAAGATATATAAATTCACTAATAAGACTTATCACATAATTTATCAAACATTATTATTATACTTTGGTGCCATAAGTCACACTCTATTAGTTATAAACTCTATATATCCATCAACAGGTTATCGACTAACTTATCAACTTATCACATAACTTTTCAGCTAGATTTATCAAACATATAACTCTAGATTTACCAAGCATTATGCTACATAGCCTTAGGATATGCTTAATATGGTTTATAATTGGAAATCTTTTGCTTACAGTAACATAATAGCTGGGTTTATATTCAAGAAGAGTGTACTCAATGCAGGTCCACAAAATAATAGTATAAACCAACAAATGCTTACAAACATTACTGCATTCGAGTGCAAAAATAAACAAAAAACTGCAATTAAGATTTATTTTCAAATTTATAAAACTGAGCCGTTTTAAAGGTTTGATCTTTTTTCTTTTTTCTATCAGCCATTTTTTAAAATTTCGATCTTCTTCATAGCTTATATATTATCCAATCTCGTCAGACAAGTCGATAAACATAGCATCAACATCTTTTATAAATCAAATACTATATCTGTTCCATATAAATTCAACCACAATCACTTATTAGCCTATTCAACTCGGCTAGGAAGTTGTGCCTGTGGCTCGCCTTTGTGCTAGTCGAGCACAGACGCCTTATGTCAATCGGCAAGTACTATGGATCTACGTACGTTCAACAAAGCAGTTCTCGCAATTCAGGTTACTTTACATTTTCTTCTAACATGAAAAATGTAGAATGAGATAAGTTTGTTTACCATGTCGTGCCAAATGGCAAAGCGCTAGCTCATCATGAGGCCCAATCATCAGAAAACTAAAAAAGTTAACGTCTTCCAGTTCAATTCGAAGTCCATAGAAAGGGGCTCAAGGGTCATCACTTGTGCCATTTGTATACAATCAGCAACAACTTCTTCACACTGGAGTTGTACCCCTGAGGATCAAGATTGTAATAGTTTTGTCAAATGCTCGATTTTGTCTTTACTTAATCCGAGTTGAGCTCGACTCTGCAGCATTTCTCAAAATATAGGCGAATGAGCTAGATAATGCATGTGATTAATGATGTTGAGCATAAACAAGCACGAAATAGGGTGACTAGAAAAGGTTATTAATACTGTGAGCCAGAGAACAACTATCAATAGCAGTAACAACTACCAGTTCACAAAATTCAGAACCAGCATCAACAAGCATACAAAGCATACCTTCCACTGCAGGATTAGCACCTACTTGAAGAGTAGTTTATACGAACATCAGCATCTCCTGATTTGAGTATTGATGATATCTGTCTGAAAACGAAATAAGATTAGAGTTATATAAACTAAATGAACAATATCAAATGTAAGTTTGAATATCCACCACCTTGTTTTAAAAATTCCTCTCCATCCGAGCTGTTGTTGCTCAACCTTGAGCACTCATCACTTCAACCAAGTGAAAGACCAAAATGTTTCCACAACAAATATATCACAGAAAAATCGAGAGCTCCACATCATCATTCACAACCTAAAATGACGAGGAAGATTGCCATTTACACTCATCATCCTCAGAATCTCCTGAGCAAATCCTTGATTACCAGTCAGCATAAGCCCATTCAACACCCGATTGAAAATAAACTTACGAGGCAAAAACCCCCGATCGACCATTTCCACCAAAAGGTTCCCGGCAGCCACCAAGTCCTCCGACTTCTTCCTCACGAACATTGCACCAATCAGAATATTGTAAGTATCCAAATTCGGCAAACAAGCCCCACCACCATTCATCCTATCCAGCACCTCCAAAGCTTTCTCGATTTCCCCATCATCACAATAGTACCTAATAACCACGTTAAACGTCTGAATGTTTGGATCACAATCACTGCCCATCTTCTCCATATACTCAACAGCTGTATCCATTTTACCCGCATGGCAAAGCCCACGAATTACAACATTATAGGTCGTTGCATTCGGCGTGTAGCCTTTTCTCAACATCTCCTCAAACACCACAACAGCATTTTCCACACAGTCCTTCTTGCACAGTACCTGAATCAGGGCATTGTAAGTGGCAACAGAAGGGAGCACACCGGCTCCACACATCTCGTCAAACACCTTTTTCGACCTTTCCACCTCGCCCGAAACGCCAAGTCCGTGAATCACAGTTGTGTAGCTCACAACATCAATTTCTACCTTTCTCCTTTTCATCTGCAAGAAAAATGCCCACCCTTCTTCGATCTGCCCTGCCCCAAAATAACCCTTGAGCAGTGTATTGTATGTGGTCAGGGTTGGCTCCAAACCCCTCTCCACCATCTCCTTCACGACTTCCAAGGCGCGTGGGGTCTGCTTCTTTAGGCAGAAACCATTTGCAATGATGTTGTAGCTGATCACGTCGGCCCTAAACCTCCCCCGGAAGATCTTGAACAGCCGGTAAGCCATTTCTGCCCTTTTAGACTTGCATAGAACGTCGAGAAACGTGTTGAACGAGTTTAGGTCCTGCTGGCAGCCGTGTTCGTGCATGGACAGGAACACTTTGACGGCCTTGTCGGCTTTTCCGGCAGAAACGTACCGCTCGGTGATTATGGCAAAGGTTTTGGGGGAGGGGCCCAATTTCATGGACCGCATTCGGCTCACGAGGGCCCAGACAGACTTGTAGTCCCGCAGTCGGGCAGCGATGTCGATGGCGTGGTCGAAGACGGCGGCGGAGTGGCAGTGCGGGGAGTGGTGCCGGTCGAGGAGGTCGAAGAATTGGAGGGCTTTGGGGCCATGGTTCCAGAGACGTTTGAGGACTGTCTCGACTAGGTTAGGGTTCCACTTGGGGATGGAGCTGAGGGTTTGGGCAAGGGATTCTGGATCGCCGGAGTTGAGTATCGATTTGGCAACTGCGGTGGGGTCTGGCGGCGGCGGAGGAGAGGAGGTGGCCGGCGGGGTTTTGAGTGAGAATTTGAGGTTCTTCTTGGCTAGGTTCATCTAAACAAAAGCGTACGTGTAGATTTGAACTGATTTTGCTTTGATTTGCTATGTTGATGGACACGTTACAATGAAAAGGGGTGTAGGGGAAAGAAAAAAGAATAATCAAAACTAGTTGGTTGGAATAGGATAAAAAAATGTCTGGCGATCTGTTCCCTATTGGCGGCGCCGCCGCAACTAGCCCTAACTCAGATAATATCGACTTCCCGGCTCTGTCTAAAGAGACGGTCCCTCCGCTCGTTAACGGCAGGTACTCTAAACGACGACGTCCTCTAGATCCGGGTATTTCGGGAGAGGCTACGGCGAACGTGGGGGCCAAGCCACTAGCGGCCACCCCGGTGCAAGGACAGCAGGCGAAGGACGACAATCCCCAACGGTGGAGTTTTCGTGATATGCTGAATAACAACCGGCCACACGTTAGTCTGGAGGATGGGGAAAATTTGGAGGAAGAAGTGGAAGAGGATATTCTGGTGCACTTCACGAAGTCGGTCCCGAACTTGCGCATTGCAACCCGGTTCTATGAGATGTTGGCCAAAGAATGGAAGAATGTGATTGTGGTCAAACCTATGGATACTGCACTATCCCATGGGGTTTTGTACAACAGGTTGACGAAGATGTGGCCTCATATGGTGGGATGCAAGATGATGGACTTGGAGAACGGGTTTTACTTGATACACTTTAATA